GTCAAAGGTCTACAACCCTTTAAAGAAATCTCGGCAACACATAACTAGCAAGAGAGGCATTCCTCACTCTTCTTCCCTTCTACGCTTCCCTGTCCATCAGGCCACGCACCTGATGAAGCAACTGGTGGCGAGACCTGAGTGTAATTCCTGTGAATGAACATGCCTCCGCCCCCATACTTCTCAACTCGACACATCAACTTACCGGACACCGCTTCTGAGCTGGCTGCCCTGAACTGTCCTCTTGTGACGGCCATCAAGCTTGGAGGTCACAACTCACTGTACTACACAACACGGGCACAGTGCACACCTTCAAAACAAACGGATTACTGCCTAACTGACCTTCTAATGCACAAAAAACTCTTGAAATACTGTTCAAAATTACTGCTCAAATACTACTCAACTTATTACTCACTCCCCTTGTGATAACACTGGAATGTGAACTTTTACTTTACTGCTTTACTGATGAATACACGAGAAAAACATCACTGCACTCTTTTGTCACTTTTCAAGACTCACTGTGCACACTCAAAGCACGTGTTATGGTCAATCTCTGTATGGTGCAACACTGTAGTAACTCTTCCGGAATTACACTGTACTCTAGCAAATCAAACAACTTAAAAAAGAACGAAAGGCATTTCCATTACTGAGAGTCTTGCTCACAAAAAAATAAAGTGGTAATACTGTAATACTTTATACGAGACTGTCCCCTCGGTCCTCAACAAGTATTCACTGTCTTTTCAATTGCAATGATTTTAACACTGTTATGACTTCACAATGAGCTCTGTTGTACTCACAAATGGGGGACCTTGCATGTACTTTCAACAATCAATTTTCAAAGATTGCATTCTTTCAGATGTCCATATCACCACAGAGTCCTCAACTCATCAAAGCAATTGCTGAAATTATACATGTATTAGATCTCAGATAAATATAAAACACTCTTACTGACAATGCCTGTCAGTCTACACTGCTAGAACTAATGCTGTTGGCATTAGAATCATACTCTAAAAGAAACAACACAAAAATACCATATACTCGGAAATATATAACGCAACTTGCGTTATACAAATAAATTCACTTGTCAAAACTGACGTCAACTGAGAACTAAAACACTTCCAATTGAAATCAAAACAAATGCATCCAAAATATATCACAATTTCAAATAACAGTCAGTTACATAACCTTAGTACAATTATGGCCCTTCTGGTGACACTCAGAAATAACACTGCCCCAACACTCTTAACATGGCAGATGTTCACTGTTCGCTCATTGTCTGTAAATATCAAAGTATTAACTCGAGTGATCACAACAATTGCTATGTTACCAGTGCAGAAAGGCACCCCAAAAAAATATTACCTTGGCATGCAACCAACACTTTCCTGAGATTGCACAAAAAAAACTGCAAAAAAAAAATAGTTAGGTAGCTAACCTCTGTTTTTCAGACACTTTCCAATACTCTGACCATTACAAGTTTCCACATTTTACTGTACACTTTACTTTAAAACAGATTTCTAATTTTCTTGAGGCAATTGTTCTAACCTAACTTCACGTAAAATATTTGCCGTGAACTGTTTTCAACTTCTCCGTAAAACCACATAAAAAAAAATGCACAGAATTACATACTACACTGTACACTGGAAAATTACAGAACAAAATTATTAGTAATCTGGAATATTCATTAGTTAAAGTGAAATGATTAGGTACCTGTACAGAGAAATGGTTATTACAACTCACACTTAAAAAAAAATACCCACAGTATCACATTTATTCCTCCTGACCTTGATACCATGAGAATTACATCCCACATTTGTCGAGTACGATATCAGTCTCGGATATTTGGGTTGCCCGGGTCAGATATTTTTCAGATCAGTAATATCGCTCAGTATCTGGGTTTAGGGTTTACGATATATTTCTCTGACATAAGAAATATTAGTAGTTGGAGATATATGAGTTACGATACAGTTACTTATTAACGTATTGTTTGTGTCGTAAATTAGTATGTTTGTGATATATGTCTGTCTAGTTCTCACATATCTAACTGGTCATGCTTACGGTTTAAACTATTGATTCCTCGGAGATAAAATCATGGAAAGTGTGTCATAAAGGCTATAAGTGTATTGAACTTACATTTCTGAAGGAGTAGAGGTGTTGGTGTGGCAGTAGAAGCCTCATGTTTACCTCTTGAGCTTCTCGTGATACTTGGGTCAACATTCAAGTTCAGGACATAAGCCAACATTACACTATTACTAGTCACTGCTTCATCTTCACTATTATTTTCACTGTCACTGACCATTTTTACCTTCAACTGTCATTTGGTCATCACTAGTTTTACTTTTATAATCATTGTCTTTAATTTTTGTCTTGGGAAAATCCTTCATTTCCTACATCAGCTCCGGTAAGATTGGCGAGCTGTTGACGTCTGATCACTCCTAATGTTTTCAAATGTTACGACCTACATGATTGGTTAAGTGTGAAAAATGGCGGATCAGATCAGCCAATGACAACTCAGGACTCAACAGACCCAACTGGGGAGAAAGATAGTTTCTCTTGTCGGGGTACAGCGCCTTGACACGATATAAATTCAATTGTCATGTAAGATATTGTCCTTAAATTTCCACTAGTTACATTTTTTATCCAAGACTGACGATTTTTATCGAATCTTAATGATTGCCTGACAGTAATAACCTTTAATTTGAATATAAGGAAATCTTACAAGGATTCTTCATAACAATTATCATATTATAAATACTGTTTAAATATCATTAATATATTGAAAATCTATATAACTACAGTGAGCAACCTACGTGTTTATTACTTAGACCTAAAAGCATTTCTGGCCCTCCTGGTCGACGTGAACTCATTACCAGGAAGAAGCGACAAAAAATATTACGTAAATTTCATCAACATGTCAGAGACTTGTTAAATATTCCCCCAGTTCTCGTCACTACACACAGGAAGGATTTTACAGCCCCTAATAATTAGCACTTCCCTGATAAAGGTATTTCAGCGCTCCCAGTCATCACCAGCTGCAAGATTAGGAGTTCCGGGAATCAACAATCTTCTGGGAATATTCTGCCCTAATGAGTACTGTTGTGACGTGTTCCAGTGATCTTCAAGCCTTACTTATACCACTAGAAGGTGTTCCAGTTCTCAGTAGCATATGTTACATCTGGATAATGTTACTGGGATTCTCGTTACCATATGTAAAGTAATTAATGATTCCTTATATCTTTAACCAACCAGGGAGAGAGGAAGTCCCATCAGCATTTATCACACTAGCCGAGAATTAGTGGTACTCAAGTCAGTAACATCGTCCAGAGAGGAAATTCCCCGGTCATAACTACCTCTTAGCTGGTAAATTTAAGGAGTCTTCTCTCTTCAACACTGATTTGTTTCAGGACCGCTTACTACCGCCCGAGTGAAGAGTTACTAACTTCACCTTGACCCACAAGTGTGATGATCTTGAGAGAAAAAACAAAATCATGGTATTAATTTTATGTAAGTTGATGGTGTTTGGGATTTTTTTTTATTCTTAGCACTACACATGTTCTTCTACCTCTACCTCTACTAAAGTGAAGTAGACGAAAGAGATATCGTTAACTCGATAAAAAGCCAGAAACTCAAGATTAGAGGCCAGAGGGTATCCAGCTTTCTTTGTCATCACCAGCAAAAGGAAGTGAGGCTCTTGTCCCGACTTTGAGAAGCTGCATGGAGGCGATCACAGCATTTAGTACACACAGATCATTTTTTTTAATCAGTCTTCTTTAATCTTACTCCCAATAAAAGTCTGGGAATTGCTTAAAAATTTAATCGATATGCATAATAGTATCCAGGGGAATAATTATTTCCAGTGTAATTAGTATTATGTAATGTTTGTTCCTGTACTTACACTGGATTTGGTTAGGTTAGGTATATGTAGATATCTATCAGGAACATTCAGAGTAGCAACCCCAAAAAAATCGACACTGCTGCTCTTCACTTAAACTCTAGAACGAAACTAATTTTTGTCTTCATAATTCCCATTTTATATTCTACGTAAGTTCAGGTCAGGTATTAAGGACCTCCTTACTTGTACCTAAGGAGTATCCCTAATCTCTTCCAGTTAATGGATGGTAGACCGCACGCCAGTGTAGATAGCTTGGTTGACCATACGAAGTGGTATCGTTTTCTATAAAAAAATAACTAAAGAAAATGTTAATGGTTGTATGGTAAACTTATTTATTGCTATTTACTTGTAATCTTTAGCTATCATTATCTAATCTTCTCTCTCTCCCTATGGAACACTGAAATAATATCAGATTACCAAGGTAGGGAGATAGGGAGGGAGTTAGAGTGTAAAGGAAGGAGAGAAGGAGAGAGACAGGAAGGAGAGTTAAGCCTTCCTGGACCTAACAAACAAACTCATCTTTCTCCCACACACACACACACACTCACTACTTCCACTAGTAAGATCGACGCATTACAACATGAATTTAGGATAAACTCCCCTGGGACATGTAGAATAATACATTTATATCATAAGATTATACGTATTAAATCATTATAAGCATGATGCAGATACGGTGACTCACCTGACAAGTAACACGGGTTGTCGAGTCGGCGCCGAAATTACTGACCAGCATGTCAACAACTAGTGCCAGCATAAGAACCTATTATCACAGGATAATCAGGTCAGAATCTCCACCACAGGTAGTGCCAGGGAGAGTAAACTTCAGGTGAGGTAAGGTCATTTATGCGCTTGCCGCTTGACCTTAATTTGACCTTACAGGACCTGTGATCCAAATGATGCCTTTGAAGCCTAAGTAAAACCCCAGCTTTTGTGCTATAAATCAATATTTACTAAAAAAAAGTATATGGCAAATTTTCTTCATCCGTCAGCCTCAACCCAATATGGTCTTTATGTTCTTGTAGCGTAAGAATCGTGCTTGGATGATGCCCCCGATAGGGAAATACATCCTGAGATTTGACAAGTTTCCAAGGGAATGTGAAACAGCGAGAAAATGAATCCATTAAAACCTTTATTTGAATGATATATCACAGGACAATCCAGAGAAATGAAGGTGATGCACAAGAGGTACAAAACTACCCAACTATACTTTGACAATAACAATGGAAAGGCACATGCGAGTCGTCGTCCTCAGAGTTCACTCAAGACTACAGAGTGTGGGCAAGAACACACTCCAGTTACCATGCCACAGACGAGAGTTGTAATGCTAGTTCATATGAGGTAACTATCACTCTTCATCCCTTGTAGGTCAGTCACGTTAACAATAATGTAGTTGTTTACTTAACCACTCGTAATCTTGATGACTCTGAAAAACCTAAACGACGAGAGTTCTGTAGGAACATAACTCTAAGGGGACAGTTCTAATTACAGTAATTACACCTGGTAATTAAATGACACAGTAGTTACACCTGGTAATTACAATAAGCAATATGCAACGTAGGCAACAAAGAGCAGTGCCGAGAGATGAATTGAGACGATGGTTGACCCACCTGCTGGTGATTCACGAGGTTAGAATGATCCTCATAAATTACATAAAAGCTTAAGTAAACGAGTGCGTGTGTCTAGGGTTTATCTACCGACATATATAAAAATCTCATTTAAAAAGTTACTCACGGACATTGTGCATGAAGATTACTTTCCTAAACCATCAGTTACCTCGTATCACATCACCACAATTATGAAGCAGGAATTACTGTACTTAAGTAGCTGTTCTGATGATTGTAAAGTAACGCTCAGGAGAGGCTACACCTTATCTTATCAAGTAAAAAAAAACAGTAAATTTCTCAACATGAATTGATGATTTATTATCAACCTAATAAGTCGGGTATATTGTGACACCATCTGTCATTCAGTTGTCTTTACGATTATTGGAGGGAGTCAAACTAAAACTCTATTGTAATATTGTTCCTTTGTTATGTTAAAGTGGGCCATACTGCTTCCTTTACAGAGTTTTTAATATAATTATGCGATATGTCTTCAATGTGAGCTGTTATAACATTTTGAGCAAACAAATATCCTTTTACGTTATCATAAATGATATATTAGTTTTGATATCTCCTTTTTTTTAGTTCAGTGAGTCCTTTTGTTTATCCTATATACTGATATTTTCATTCTTAAATAATAAAAAAAGGGAATCTTTAGCTTGTGATTCTTACTCTCTCTCTTTCTCTCTCTTTGTCTTTACATATTCCAGTTTTCCTCAGTCTTTTGTTTCTCTTTCTCTCAGAAATATAGTTAATTTTTCTCTTTAGGACTTTATCCTTTCTCTCCGGGACACCATAATCATCATCATCATCATCATGGTCACTAATCTCTGGGGTCGTCATTGTTTACTGTCCTCCTGGGAGCTTGAGGTTGACATTATCGTGGGAGAAGACGAGACGATCTTTCATATCCTTGGACATGTCATCGAGAGAACTCTTGTTGTTGGCGGAGAAGCTGGACTTTGAGGAGGACGAGAAGGTGGAAGAAGAGGACATGGAGACCTGTGGGTAAAGAGGAAGACTTAGTGGAGGCCGGAAGTCACATGGTACAAACATGGATAAAAGACTCAGTGATTATTATCTATGCATCAACATTGTACCATTCAGGATAGAAGCCATTTTAGACACATTCAGTGAACCCGAGACTAATTAAAACCCTTTACTCTTACTTTATAATGCTCAAGTGTAATAATTATCATGTGCCTTTAAGAGAACCTATTCTTTATAGTTACAAATTTCGTGGAAAACAAAAATATTATAAAAAACAAAGAAATATAATTCTCATAATATTACGAAATTTAATATAAGCGATACTAAGATTGTGAAAAAAGATATGATTGCTTAAATTATGTGAATATATTTGAAGTTAGAAATTCAGAGTTCTTTAAATTGAAACATTTGGTGCTAAACAAAGAAGGACCTCAGAATCTCCCTACAGTATGACATAACCTGTAGATAGAAACTTTGATCTACATAGATTAAGGAAAGACAGATGATAAAGAACGTCAAAAAATAGACATAAACTCTAATCTTTACTGAACATAATCACTCCCTCACCTTCTTGACTGAGCTAGAGCTGACAGAGGAGGACGACTCCTGGACTGCTGAGGAAGATTGCTGCTGCACTGAGGAGGAGAGGGCACCAGCAGGCTTGGAAGCATCACCCTCCTGAAGAAGATTAAATATTTAGTCGTCATCCAATACACCTTCTACAGCTTTTGCATTAATCTTATCAATAATATGGGACTTTATGCCTAGGTACAGTACATATTGGTGCATTTCAGTCATTCTCAGGTTCAGAAATTACCTTTAATATACTTGGTACTACATTAAAATTAGCACATTCTTCCGTAAATTCAAATCTGTACGTGAAAAAATAATAATTGATATGTTTTGTAGAGGTTAAGTTCTTGGAGAGTGTCTAGGGTGTTATCTGTATCTGCCAACTTACCCTCTTGGGGGCCTTGACGGTGAGGACGCCATCCTTGGAGAGCGCTGTGGCCACCTCGTCGATGTTCGCAGTCTGGGGCATAGTGAACTCCTTGTAGAAAGACTTTGATGACGTGGAGGACCCGTCTTCAGATTTCTGGAAGTTAACACAATACGAGAGATGAGAAGTGAGGCGAGTTATGTATAAGGTCTGTGTCTGTCTAGCAAGAACCAAACATCCTTTTGAGTCATCGCCTTGAGATTAAAAACCTGTTTGGAAAAGCATCGATAACAGATAATTTACATCTTTAATTCATATATTATGTACATTACTTTACACCTTCAACTGATATTCTATGTATATTAACTTACATCATTAACTAATAATTTATGTGCTTTAAATTATAACGAACTCATTATGTACGTTTTTAAGTATACTGAAATTAATGGTGAATAACAAGCAAATTAAATATTCACGTTAACAAATCCACTGTATTTGACATTGGCTGATTTCCAAGTTTGTTTGACCCCAGTTGACCCCAGGGGAGACTTACCTTGAAGTATTTGCCCTCCACCACGACGCGGTCATCCACTACTCGCACCTGCAGGTCATTGGGGCTGAAGTCCTTTACATCCATCACAGCCTGCAAGAGTTGTCACCGTTAGTGTCTGTCACCTCCACCATATTGTTGCTTTCTCTCAGAGTAACAGGAACGTTGATGGACTATTAGGAACTCTTATAGACTGACCTAACTTGAACTTCTTATAATAAAGTGTGACCTCTAAATTCCTTCATTTGTCATGTTGAAACCTGTCCCATTAGCACCTTACCTTGACCTATCATGACCTTGGTATCCCACTTAGTAGCCCTGTAGTTCCATAGCATGACCTCAACATAAACTAGATCATACCAACAGTAACCAGTATTCTAGTTGACCTGGTTTGACCTACCTGGAACTTGCCGTCCTTCTCTGTGATCTGAAGAGCCTGGGAAGCATACAGATCCTCGTCAATCTTGCTGGAGCGAATTTTGCTGTACAAGTCGCGGCATTGTGTCCTTGACCCAACGTCCACCTGTGAGAAGTCAGAGTAATTCACTGTTAGACAATGAACATATTTATGGATACTTTATTTGGAGGAACAAAATGAGCTGTTCGTTTCTAGATTTACATTGGTGTCTCTGATGTTAATTCTATTTGTGTGCTAAGATGATTTTTAAAAATATTTTCTCTTCGCCTATACCTTCCCCCCAAACGCCTTCCCCCAGCTACAGTATATGTTATCATTTAATATTCTTCTATCCTCTACACCACCATCTACAATTCCTTTCTCACAATACGCCTTTCTGTCCCTCCATCCATGACCTCTTCTCCGAATCACAACCCAACCATAATTCCTTCACGTAGCCTCACCCTTTCTCTACCCTTACTCCTTTCCTCCTCCCTCTTTCCCGCACTCTCTTCCTCCTCCCCTCCACCCCTCACATCCTACCTTGAGTCCTGTGTTGTCGAACTTGTCAAGGATAGACTGGACTGCAGTGTCGAAGTCCTCCCAGGCGTCGGTGAAAAAGGAGTCATCGAAGAAGGACTCCCGCTTAACGAGGCTCAAAGTCTTGCTGGTCGCCATGTTGAAACTCGAGTCTGGAAGAAAATATTTATACGTTATTCACCTTGTTTACATCGACACTAAGATACGCCATGTTACTGTGAATTTGAATCATATGCATGTCTTTCCTCTCTATCATGTGTATATGAAGTTACTGTGTGTACCTATATATGTTTGTATGTATGTGTCTATGTATGTGTACAGTAGGTGTTATGTGTGTATATTTGCATGTGTATCTACGTGTCAGTATGTGAATATACTATTATTTATGGGAGTGTTTGTTTGTTTGGTGTATGAATGTGTTAATTGTGTATATAAGTGTATGGTAATATCAGAAATAATACACACAGATGTATTCTTCTCTACTGACCTATCTACACTCTACCAACAACCGGTATACACATGGTAGGTCAGTCTTAAACATTAATCCTCAAAGTCTCTCAAACTTGCACCAAAATAATTAACTAATGTACTGGTTAAACTCTTCATTACTCTCTGATACCAAACATCAAAGGAATTTTTCTTTCGTGTGTGCGTCCCTTTATAAACTTAATGCACTGATGTTATCATTAGAGTTAAATTCCATCAATATTCCTTATCTTATCTACAAAATGTCAAGTTAAATGGGCGAGGAAGAATTATTGTAATGTCAAGAACTCTCCGAAACGATTGTACGATACCCAGGTTGGATATGGCTGCATGGACTTGGGTAAATATTCCCTATAACCAACACCAAATTACATTACTTATAAAAACAAAAGAGGATCAGTAAACCAATGGATACCAAAAACAGAGATCTGGCTTAGAGACGTAAGTATGTAGCTTAGTCATACGTGAACAAAAGGAGAGACGTGAATATTTCAGTAAACTTCTGGCTGGCTAGCTGGGTGGACGTGCCAAGGAGTGACTGTGAGCCAAACTCCCCCTGTGTCTGTATGTTGAATGTGTTGATCTAGTCACCCTGTGTGTATGTTGGATGTGTTAGGCTCCCTCCCTGAGTGTATGTTGGATGTATTAACCTCCTTACGTATATGTAGGTTTATTAGTCTAATCTCGTAGCCTCCTTTATGCATGTTGAATGTTATGTAATGTCCTGGAGGCTCCCAATAGCATAACAAAAGCCTGATATAAATTGGTGTCAACTTGAGCCAACCATCACACCAACATTAGCGAGGTATGAAGCAGTCAAGTGCGACACCCTGGGAGACATGATCCAATAACAGCCATTCATTTATATCCAAACACAACACGAGGCACCATAAGTCATGTCACCTTCTAACCATCTCACAACCATCTACACGACGTTTAGGTGACATGATAAATCGTGTTTGCTTTAGTGACATGATCTTTGCCGTGGTAATCAATGCTAAAAATACATTCCTCAGTATTACAGGATATTGCAGAAAACCCTCCTACCTGGGATTCGAACTTGGGTCACTGGGTTTATTGTAGGGGCATCTGTTTAAGGCGCCACTGGTGTTTACTAGTGAGATTAGGTTCAAATTGTGAATGTAGATTGATGGGAAATACTAGTTTCAATTTCATGTGTCCTGTTATTACAATGAATATGTTAATACCTTGCGTCCCATTTACTCACAGAATTCGTCCACACACACACACACACACACACACACACAGACAAAGCACGAGGATTACAACTACCCCTCGAATATTTTCCTTTTTCCTTCGTGAGAGAATGGAAAAAAATAAATTCCTGTTGACTTTTCCTTCCTCAACCAAGTCAGGTGTTGATCCATCGTGGCCGAGCAAACAACACGATGGCAGTGTGAGGTCCCGGGGCGCAAGTGGGCGACTGTCAACAGAAATAGACTTGCTGCAGTACGTCTTGGGGGAGGGTGATGGTGGGTGAGGAGGGAGGAGGAGGGTGATGGTGGGTGAGAGTAGATGGGAGGTTAGGGGTGGGAGGAGAGTGATGGTGGGTGAGGGTAGATGGAGAGTTAGGGAGAAGAAAGACTATCAGAGGTAGGGGAGAGAGTGATGGAAAATAAGGAAGGAAGGAAGGAGGTAAGAGGTAGAAGTAGTTAGGAGAAAGAGAGAAGGATGGAAGAAAGAGGAAAGGCAAGAGTAGTGATGGAGGATTTGAGTGAAGAAAGAGAAGTAAAATGGAGAGAGAGAGAGAGAGAGAGAGAGAGAGAGAGAGAGAGAGAGAGAGAGGAAGAGAAGACAAAGAGGTATGTGGGAAGAGAAGAATAACAAGGAAGGAAGAAGGGAGTGATGGAAGGTTGTGAAGGAGGGGGTAGGGTAGATGTGAACCTATATAAAGCTTCCCTCCCTCTCTCCCTCCCCCTGGTGCCAAGTCTAGTGCCACAGTGTAAAACCCAAACCGCCCCTCACCAGCATTGTTGACTAAGAGCTCTTACTAAAAACCTTCATCTCTGAGAAATGTTTTGGCTCCGTTTATCATCTTAATTTCTGGTCTATCTTAATCTGACTAAAATTTTCTTTTCTTGCATAATGGATGTCTTTTTGCTTTTAATTTCAATCTATGGTAGACAACATATTATTGACAACACATTTACATTATTAATATAGAATTTTTATTATTTTTGTTTTAATTTTTAGACATCCACTTTGCTATTATTGATCAATGTTCGTGAAAAATTGAAAGTATTGGTAATTTTTTTTAGGATTTTCTCACTTAACCTAAACCTGTCTTACGTCGATCCTATTTTCGTCTAATTATAATAATAATAATAATAATAATAATAATAATAATAATAATAATAATATAATGAATCATGACTCAGAGATCAGCTACTTGACTAAATCACAATGCTTGATAAGGTTCCTCGGTGTTATCTGCCCAACTTATGTGAACATTTTAGTAACAATTGGTAACAGACAAACACAACCGACTAACAAATTTAACGATGTCGTAGAGTTCAACAAGTAATAAATACAAATAAATTAATAAGACCCGTATTTATAAACAACACAATTTATTTTTACAACTAAAATCAAAATTTATTGCACATTTCTTAACTAACCAAGCTAATTATTTTTAACTAACAGTCTAACCAGAAGTAAAAACTGAGAGACCAGATTAACTAAAATTATCCTTAAGTGATTCAACTCGCTTATATCTGTCTGTCTGTCTGTCTGTCTGTCTGTCTGTTCTTGGTTGGTGGTTTTCCCGACCTACTTCCTCGTACCGTTGACATACATTACCGTTCACAGTAAGTGCTGCATATCATGACGGACAGACACACACGCACCCGACTGATTCGTAATTGATCGTGTGAGGAATTTAGGTCGCTGTGGTAGGGTTTTGGGTGTGTTTGGCTGAGCTGACGTGGCTGTATTGACCTCTCATGACCTACTGTCATAACCTATTTTGTCATAATCCACTGTATTATAATCTACCTCGTCAAATTAACCCCATCATAACATAGCCTGTGAAAAACTAGCCTGACTCAACCTCACCTAACCTAACCTAACCTAACCCCATCATAACATAGCCTGTGAAAAACTAGCCTGAGTCAACCTCACCTCACCTCACCTAACCTAACCTAACCTAACCTAACCTTCCGTGACATAACTTAGTCAAAACCTGTCCTACCCTCTCAAAACCTAACCTCATTTATAACAGCTTAAGATAATAACTAGCATTAGTCCCTCGTACACTTAACAACCCTATCATCCTTTGTAACCACCAAATTGCTCGTTCCCTTTGGCGTAATGTACACTTTAGGTAACAGTTATTACATCCAAGGAAACAAGGATTCATAGTGTCGTGAGAAAAGTCTTTAAGTGTGTGTTAGACTCTATGAAAGTGATACTATTGAAGACGTCAGTTGTGAGGGGGCGAGAAACTGTAAATCGTATCATAAACAAAGTGAATTCGCGACAGCTTCTGAGAGTACAGTAGTGTAGGTATCAAAAGTTAATTTCTTGTTTCGTGGTTTTATCTATTCGTTTCCAGGTTAGGTTAGGTTAGGTTAGGTTAGGTTAGGTTAATAATATAAGGACACGTATCTATTTGTTGGTTTGTTTAATTAAAGGTTAAGGAATATCAGGCATAATTTGATCCAGTTAAAGCTTTACAATCTCCTTTATAAAAATGGTAAACTCGTTTAAAAAATTCCAAATTAATTAAAAAACGAAGAAAATAATAATATGGCCTCTTCCAACATCGCTCCACACGGCTCATTTTTGTTAATACTTAAAACAAATCCTACTGGTAATTCCCATCTTTAAACACACATTTATTATTGTGTTCCTTAGCTAATGCTCCCTGAGACACTGAGAGTTGGAGAGAGGGAGACAGGGAGGAAGGGGAGCAGGGAGGGAGACAGGGAGGGAAGGGAGCAGGGAGGGGAGCAGGGAGGGAGGCAGGGAGGGAGGGAAGCAGGCAGGCGAAGCACAGTTCTATCCCATCAAACAGTTCAATGACATGTGCTAAAAAAAAAAAAAGCTGACCTAGAATGTAGTTTATGACCCCATTGAGTCACCGAGTCCTGAATACGTGTGGACAAAGCATATCGACCGTGAGCCTCGTGAGCAGCGGTGGGCAATTCGTCTAATACGCCCAGACGTGTAAAATACAGGTATAGTTACTGTTGGAAGTGAACCAGCCAGAGAGTTTACCCGGAAATGACGTTACGTTGAACACACACACACACACACACACACACACACGAGATGACAGATACGAATTTAATATAACCCATATATAAATCACTTAACCTCCTCATAATGGCGCGTAATTCTACCTTTTATAAACAAACAACTACAAAAAAATTACCCCAAAATTAACAAACACACTATATCTTAATAGTAACTCTTAATATTGGTTGTTGCAAATATTCTTGGAAAAAAATGACAGCTGTTTATTACGTTATGGAGGTACGCGTTGGCTGGTCTCTGTCATAGCGGTGTAACATCGATAAGTTGTCTGGTGAACGGCTCCCTTGCCTTTAAGCTGTCATAACTCGCCGCTACTGATAAAGTATAGATAGTTTGGCCTAGATAGTGTGAGTCAACGATGAGTAAGTGATTGGCGGACATAGTTAGG